GGCCAGAGCCTTTTCCTTAAGTATGAGTTAATAAATCACCGTTATCATTGCAGTTAATTTCCACCCAGTTTTCAAAGTAGGTGTCTTGTAAAGTATTATATAGCTTTAAATAAGAATAATAACAATAAAAAACAATGTTAATTTTATCTGTGCCAGGACTCCATCCAATCTGAGACAAACATAAGGTCATATGGGGGTGGGAGGCGCTTGCTCCCATCAGCCGGCCTCTCCGCTGAGGCCGTGCCTGTCCCGCTTGTTGCGAAGGGCTTTCTTTGTCTTTCCTGCGCGAGCCGCTGCCGCTGCCGTGGTTCTCCAGGAACCATCGAATAGGGGGTCCCCGCTGGGTTGTCTCTACAAGAGTCTCACGCCCACCCTTTCCTGCCGGCCCAGACAGCGGAGGCCCCCACATTCCTGGGAGGACCACTTCTGGGCCCCATGAGGCGGGTCCCACACTGAGAGAGCGGTAACGTTTTTGGCCTATGGATAAGCTAATTTACCTTATTAGGGAGAAACACTCTTGGAGGTAGAGAAATGGGCCGGTCTCTGGTCTGAGAAATGGGCGCGTAACACTCTTGCTCTCTCTGCAAAGGCCATGACCAGAATTCAGTTTGCCTCAAGGCCCCGAGCTCGGCAGGGCTGGCCTGAGGGTTTCGGCCTCCGGGTGGCTCCGGGATCGGCTTGCGCACCTTAAGCTAGAAAAGGAAGTACGGGAGCGAAGCGCTGGGTGCCCCCCTCCCAGCAGAGTCTGGGGCGGGGCTCGGAGAGTGGCACAGAGCCCGAGGCTTCCCACCTCAAGGCTACAAGTCAGGCAAAGGCTGGACTGTCCCCTCCCCAGTGCAGACCGATGCCTCCTCGCCTCCCCGCCAACCTCGTAGTCTCCAGCCGCTCTCGCCCTTCCCTGGCCGCTTGGTCCCGTCCTTCCTTCCCGAGGCCGGATATGTCCCCCCTTTCCTCACCTTCCTCCCTCTTCCCCGGAAAGCTTTTAGGAGAGTGGGGCGGGGCGAGGGCGGCTGAGACCACCAGTCTGAAACGTCAAGTTCAGTGGCAATGTCCCTGACCTTCTCCACCTCCCTGGGCGCCGGCAAGACGCTGTCTTTCCCTTCCTATCATTCTGGGGGCGATTGAACTCTTGCTGCCTCCTATCTCTCTCTCTCTCATTTTGGGCGCAATTTAGGAGAGGGCGGCCAGTGGTGGAATTCGTTTTTATTCCGTCTGCTCCAACCACCTTCACCTTCTTTCTACACAGAAGTTACTTTTAGCTGAGAGAGGAAGAAAGGCTGGCATCCATTGGATGTTTTTAAATCTCCAGGCCCAAGCCAAAGCTGGGGATTGGGAGACGAGGTGTCCCCATCGAATGAGAGGCCTAGGGCCCCTCCAGTGCTTTCTTCTCCCCTTTCCCAGAGAGGGACTATTCAGCTGGGTGAGAATATGATATACATTTCTTTCAAAAACAGCGGACCCTCCTCCTTTCGCGCCCTCTGAAACAGTTGCCTTTGCGCTTTGTTACAAGTTGACGGTAACAGGTTCATTTAATGAATTCACAATTGTAGTTCTGGGGGTGAGGGCACAGACCCCCCTGCCCCGGAAATCTAATTAAAGTGCAGCCCTTAGGACTTTGAATAAAACTTTAATGAAGGGGAGAAGGGAAGGCAGTTTGTTCCGCGTTGGAGGAGGGGAGACGGCACCTCCTGGAGAACTGGTGTGTGTGCGGACCGTTGATCAGGACCTTTTTCCTGTCTCGGGGACAGCTTCTGGCCCAGGAACGACTCAGAGGAGAGGTGACTAGGGGAGCGGGAGCACAGTGGTGCAGATACGCGGCCGGCCTCGGCCTCGCAAGTTCCAGGTTGGCCGGAAACCTTTGCCAGCAGGAGGAAAGGACTGAGGAACTGGAGCCTCGGGTGGAGTCCCTACTGGGTTGCTGCGGGAACCCAGATTCGAAAAGCGTTTCCGGAGGGCGCGTCTACGCACTTCACCACTACGTCCTAATTCAGTCTGATAAAATCCACCTGGTTTGGAGGTATAAGCGATTTGGGTCCTGGAGCCAGCGCAGACGAGATTCCCAATCCCTTTTCCACGTCTGCTGAGACTCAGCCGGAGGAGCTGTTTGGCTTGGAGACAGGGAGGGGGAGGGGAGGACAGCTTCCAGTAAAATTACGCCTCCTTGCTGAAAATATGCCTAGTAGATTTTTCCGGAGTGTATCTGTGCTCCTCCGCGTGTATTTGTCCATGAGAATGTTGTCTGAATTTATCTACTGGTGAAAGTTACGTTCATATCTTTCAGCCTGAGTAGATTTAGCAAAAAAAGACCCCATTCAAAAGCAAATAGCTGCAGGCAAGTATATGTAGATGTACTGGTTTTGTTGTAATTTACGCACAAATTAGTAAAGGTTTTTAAATACTGGTCTCGGTGGAAGGGAGTTATCATTCTCTTTGGCAGTAAATTGATATTTAGAAAGATTTAAAAAAAAAAGCTTACTACAAAACGAAATTAAATATTTTTTTGCACAGGGTGCATACAAATAAATCATTCAGAAAAAGTGGGGAGCGGGGGTCGCCGCAAATTGTTCTGGCGAGGAAGATAAATATAATACTCCAATGGAACGAAGACCTGGACCGAGGGCAGATGGCGCCGCGGCCTCGCTCCCGGAGCCCTGACTGCTCTGTTCTTTCTCTATTCGAGATCGCTCGTGCTGCCCTCCTGGTGTTCCTCCTGGGTCTCTCGGCTGCTGGACCGAAACATCTGCCGATACCCTGGCCCAGTTGCCGGTGACTCCACGTCCTGGCGCTCTCACACTAGCCCAAGCTGTGCAACGCCGGAGGCTCCAGGCCCCAAGGCAAGGCGAAGCCAGAAAGGCTTGGTTGCGGCTTACAGCGCAGCTGACTGGCAGGTTTTCCTGAAATGGCGACTCTCTGCCGGAAGGGGGCGCCCTTGTCTTTTTAATAGTCCAAACTCACATTGGTAGAGTAAATCTAAAATCCCAAATCTTTTCTTTCTTCTGAAATTATTGTGAGCGAATAATAGAGGGATCCCAAAACTTTAAGTCCCTGATCGCGGAGTGGAAAAAGTCCAGAGTCTCGAGGCTTCTACGTAGGCCATTCGGGTTAGTCCAGGTGGCAACCCCGTTTCTGGGCTTTTCCCTCCGCATGTGGAGACCCCACAGCATGGCAGTCCCAGTTATTTGTTCCACACCCTGTCCACACGCCTATCTGCGCTGAAGTCTCTCCATGTCTGAAGCAGCGAGGGAGGGTCCTTGAGAATTTGACATTAAAAGCTACTTGCTTGAAACTTCGCTTGAAGGGGAGCGTCGGGGGGCAGAAAGTAACTTCGAGTCGGGCGCGCTACCAAGGAGCTTAAACTGGACCATGGGCCTTGGAACGATTTTTTTTTTTTAATCACGAAATTGACACACACCGTCCCCCAGCACAAACGCTCTAAGGACACCCAGGGAGGTTGGGTGAGTGCCCGCGTTGGGGGTCTTTTTTCAGCCCCCGCTCCTCTTTAGTAAACAGATTTAGAAGAGTCTGAGTCGCTTCTCAACTCTTTTTCGAGAGAGGAGCCAGGACTGGGATCCCGTCCGACCGCAGGCTGGAAGTACCCGGATCTCTTGGCTGCAGAGGCCCTTCTGGGGTTTCCTGGAGAACTGCCAGCCGCTGGCTCCGAGAGGGAACTACCATCGAGACCGTGGCCGCAGCCCCCCACCCGCTGCTCGCCGCCCTCCCTCCAGTTGCTGGGTGGCTCGGAACGTGGATCCGACAGGTCCTCTCCACTTCACGCCTGTGCGCTCGACCGCGGGGAACGTGTGTGCTGGGACCTCTCAGCCTTTGCTGCGCAGCCAAGGTAGCTAGTCCCACCAGGCACTGCACCTAGGTACACGACATCAGGCAGCCGGCACAGAGGCAGAGACCCCGTGTCAGAGACCCTGCTCCTCGAACGGTCGGTCTGCCCCAGGTTTCTGGGATTCCACACTATGCGTCTCTGTCTACGTGGCCCGGAAGAACAGAGTTTGCGCCAACCCGCTCTCTGCCCACCCGGATTCCAGGTACGCGGACTGAACCTGCGCAAAGTGAAAAGGAAACGAAGTCTGGGGCC